TAGAAAAGCCTTTTTGGTGCTTTTTTTTTTTTTTTTTATTGCTCTTTATTTACTGCAGAATTTTATGAGGGGGTAACTTCTGAGGTGAATGAAACAAAGTCACTGCTTTGTGTGGAAATGGCAGGCTCATCAGGCATGTGTACTTAATAGCACTGCACTTGAATACTCAACCTGCAAGTTTTATACTTAATCCTTTAGCATCAGATCAGTAGCCATTTGGGGGAGGGAGGGAAGCTTGTCAGCCATTGCAGGGCAGCGGTAGGAATAGAGCAAAGGAAGAACTATCGTCAGAACCTCAAAATAGACTGAAAATTCGTCACGTGTTTCACAATGAGATAGGCTGTCTCTAGAATCTTACTACTTTTCCTTCTTGTGATGTAGTTGAAATGGTAGTTGGATGTTTTCCGTGTATTAGAACTAGTTAGTTTCCTCGGCACTTGTAAAGTATGCATGATCTGGGGAGTTTTACTGGATTTTTACCCAAAATAACTTGCACTGAAGTTGCAGTGCAAAGTTCTCTACACAAAGGCTTTGCCTAACTCCTATAATGCTTCCAGGGTGCCCGTTTCATGACTACTGCCATGTACGATGCGCGTGAGGCTATTATACCGGGATCTGTCTATGACCGGAGCAGTCAAGGTAAAGGAAGCTATCAAAATTAACAGCTTTGATTTCTTTTCTTTCCCCAGCTAGTCCTTAGAGCACGGTATCTTACAGACTTCAAACTTTTAAATGTTTGAAGAGCCACTAGAGAAAAATACAGAATTTAAGGACTGAAAATGTTCATGCTGTGCCTGGATTTTGCTCTCTCTATATAGAAGCCCCTACAGTCTACCTCGATGTCTGCAGAGCAAGTGAAAAATGAGAGGAAGGGGAGTTTGTGTGTGTGTGTGTGAGCATTTTGGGAATCTTAGATGGTGCTGTAAAGAGTAACTGTGTGGGGGTGAACATGTGTTAGGTGAGTGTCTGAAATTTTCAAGTGTGGAATAAGCAGTGAACTAGAAGCATTGGTGGCCCTTGGCAGTGGTAGGCTTGTCCTTTCAGTTTCTGATTCTGAGTTACACTGCTCACAGGTCCTGCCATTACTGTTAAAAGCAGGAACATGAATTGATTTTTAAATATTCCAGATGCCTGAAGTCACTGTGGCTTTTCATCCCCTCCCCAGGGCGCCCATCCAACATGTACTTCCAGACCCACGACCAGATCGGGATGATTAGTGCTGGCCCCAGCCATGTCACTGCTATGAACATTCCCATCCCTTTCAACCTTGTGATGCCACCGATGCCACCTCCGGGGTACTTTGGCCAGGCTAACGGACCAGCCGCAGGTACGGGAGCAAGGGTGGGATGGCAAAACACTGCACTTCAGAAGTCAGAGAATGGTTTTTGCTACTCTTGCAGCAGTGCTGATGAGAGTAAATGTTGTGCTTCAGTAAAATCTTAGTTGTTCAGAGTACAGACACAGTAGCGCTGCAGTCTCCAGTGAGTGTCCCTTTGCCGTGTCCTTTTGATTTCTCTGCCCCTGCTACACTGAGTACATAAACTGCCTCTTGTGGGTGATCAGGACTTCATAAAAACAGTTCATTCTCAACATGTTTTGCATGTGTAAGACTTCTCACTGTTGGTTGGGATACATGCCTTTCTAGGACGTGGGGCGCCAAAAGGAAAGACCGGTCGTGGTGGGCGCCAGAAAAATCGCTTTGGGATTCCTGGAACTAGTCAGTCAAACCTTCCAAATAGTCAAGCGAGCCAAGATGTGGTGTCCCAGCCTTTCTCCCAGGGTCCACTGACTCAGGGGTATATCTCCATGAGTCAGCCATCACAGATGAGTCAGCCTGGGCTCTCCCAACCAGAATTATCACAGGTAAGTGGAATTTGATATGTCATTGGCTCTTTTTCTGGGTTTTATGTTGATCTGTGTGCATGCGCATCCTTGTTTCCTAGTACTGAGGAAAATGGAAACTAAAACTGTTTTCAGTGTCTCAGCCACAGCACTTCATACTCCTCTACTTGGTGGACTTTCTAAGTACACTCACGGATAAAAGTTAAATGCTGCATGTGTAGACTTCAACTCAAGCCTTAACTTTGAATCGCTTGCCTGTTCAACAGCCAGCTGTCGCAAAAACCTTTGTATTCATGGAATTTCTGCAGCAAAAAAAAATAGATATAAAAAAAGCAAGACAAAACTGAACAAAATCTCCAACAAAACCTCTCAGATTTTATCATTAACCCTGGCTGCCAGGTATTCTGCTTTGTAGGGGAGCACTTGAGCTTGATAATGAGTTAGAGGCTTAACCCACACTTTCATTTTCAGGACAGTTACCTTGGTGATGAGTTTAAGTCTCAGATTGACGTGGCGCTGTCACAGGACTCTACTTACCAGGGTGAACGTGCATATCAACATGGTGGAGTGACGGGACTGTCACAGTATTAGAGTGTAAGGCACTTGAGGTTCACTCCTCTGCTTCTTACTCCCTGATTTAAGTTCATGAACACGGTGTTTGTCTTGGGTGACATCCCTAATGCAACCGTTGTCTCGCTTTCTTGCTTTCAGGTTGAGGAAGAAGAGCTAAGCTTGTGTGGAGCTTAGTTCATCAGCATTTTATTCTGGGTAATAAAAAAAATAAAATAAAATGGATACCTGTTTTCCACTGCTAAAACTGAAGCACCACTGTGTGAGAGCAACAGGAGAAAGAAACCAACCAACGGAGAGGAGAGAGAGAGAAAGGAGCGCGCGCGAGAGAGCCCACTGCTAGCTCACTGAGACAAGGAGACTGACCGGAGAGGAGAGAGCGCACTGAAGGACTGGCTGGCGCCTCACTGGGAAGGCAACTCACCCTGAAATGAGTGGTCAGCTGAGTCCCTGCTCCCCCAGTCAAACAAGCTCGAGAGAAGGGCCTTAAGCAGGTTTCACTTCATTCCATACTTCTCTTTGCGAGCAGGGCATTACTTTTCAGAGCAGATGGGGAGAGGAAAACCCTCATCTCAGAGTTGTTCTCGTTTTAAAGGGGTACTATATTTTAGCAGTAATTGTTTACATTTTAGAAGCAGAGTATCTGAGAGGGAGAGAGAGTTCCTGACTAAGTGACAGCAAGCCAAGCGGAAAGCCAGCGGAACATAGCTGATGCTCAACTCTGAGATGCAGGTTTTGTTGTCCAACACTGGCTCTGAAATCCTAGTGTCATCGTGTCGCCCACATTGTGAACGGGTCTTTCGTGACAAGGTGGTTTTAAAGAGATTCTTTCAAAGGAGCACTGAATTTTTAGAAGTTTGTCTCTGAATTTGTAGTGGTGGACCTGGGAGATCCTTGTTCTGAGAAGCTTACAAAAAGTTTAAAACAAAACTAAATTAGAGCACCAACCTTGAGAACTTTCAGTGTGATTTAAAGTTGCAGCAATCAGCCTCTTCTTCCTACATTGGATAGCAGTTAGAGTGAAAGGAGCCTGCGCGCTCGAGCAGGAGGAGGGTTTCAAAGTGTTTTCTGTATGCTTTAATTGGCTACTGTCTGGACTCTACTCTGTGAAAAACAAGCCTTTCTGTAAGATGAACTTTGCGCTTGAAAGGGGATGGGTTCCTGTGCCCTTCGGCCCTGGAGGAAAAGATGCTAACAGGCCTGCTTTACTCACTCCCTCAGATCTGGGGAAGAAGTAGTGGAAACTGGGGATTATATTGGTTCTGAAGTAAAGACTACAATGTTACCGAAGCAGGTTGGAAAAATGGACAAAGCAGGCAGTTGTTGGAAGGTGGCCTCTGATAGCTGGGTATAATTAGAGATAATGGGTTAGGCTTTTGTGTGGCTTCTTCGGTGATTAATGCAGATAGCTGAAAGATTCAGGTGTTGAAAACCAAACCCGGAGCCTATTTTTCAGGTAGTGGACACGGCTGTGCCATCAATGCTGGCTTGAGAAATAGCTGGAAGTCAAAACTGAAAACAGCACATAAGAGAAGCCATCCAATTTCTAAGTTGTACCCATGTCTTAAATAAGTCATATGGGAACACTGGGAGCATTTTATTTCTGTCTAAACCTTTTTAGAAACAGCGCAGAGAATTTAAAGTTCCTACAGAGACCCATTTTTATCAGATCCCTAAATTAGCCTAACCTCTACCTCCTAATTGGCAAAGAACAGTAGAGTGTGATTCACTAACCTAGGTGTTTTTAAAGTTTGCATTAAGTTAGCTTTATACTCAAAGGGCTCCAAGTGTTTCTAGTCTTTTTTTTGGGGGAACTCAAAATACCTCTCATATGAATGTACTTAAATGACGTAAAACCCACTTTTTGTAACTGGGGGGGAAAGCCCTTTCATTACTGTCCTTTCTGTAGATTGTTGACCCGCTTTCATAACCTGTATTTGCTGTAGTTTTTCAAGAGTGTCTCTCCCCCAGTGCAGACCTGGTGTAGCATACCCACAAACCGTGAGTAGCGTGCACATAAACATGGAACAGGTGTTCAAAATTTTTGTTCAGTCCTGCAGTGAACATAGTTCGAGAGCTGCAAAAGAAACTTTCCAGAAATGAAAACCATTCTTTTCTCATAAAAAGCCTCCAGAGTTTAGACTTCTAAAATGTGAAAGAATGGAGACACAGGCCACCTTCCTTCCTTGTAAGATGGACTGTTTTATTTATTAACATTGCCGAAGGGCTTTTTAATTTTTTTCCTTCTGTAGGCTGCGTAGTTGCATAGACTTTTCTGATAGGTTTAAGCTGTAACCCTCTGTGCAATGCAATCCATTGAGTAATGTAACCCCCTCCTCTCCCTTCACCCCCTTTATTTCACTGATGGGAATGCTTGCCTCTGCTTTGTGCTGGTTTTTTCCTTTGTAGCAGTTACTCTGAGTTTTATAAATCCAGACATCAGTGCTAGCACGCTGTTACTCTTTTGATTTTGTCTCAGTTTGTTTTAAACCTGTTTGTCATCAATAAAATATTAATAAACAGCTCTTGCATTCAAGGTGGCCCGTAACTTTCAATGATGAAACCATACAACGTTCATTAAAACTTAGTCTGATTGTATAAACTTCAAGTTTATTACTTTTTTTTAAACACAGACTAGTACAAAAGTGTGGTGTGTGCATAGCGTACATGGGTAAGCACATGAACTGTGAAAACTGTTAAATACCCCCCCCCTCGTCCCTCCTCTGGCTCACAGGGGCCTGTGCCCCAGCGGGGGGTGCAGGGGGGAGCTGCAGGAGGTAAAGGCTGGTTCCAGAGGTGACCTGGACCATCTCCTGCTTCCCTGCAGTAAACCTGAAACTGGCTTTTACCTGTGGTGCAGGTGGGGGCTCAGCAAAGCTTGGGCTGTGGAGCTCCTGAAGTGCCACTTCAGGCCTGGGCTTGGCAGAGTGCTGGCTCCGAGCTCCTGGGGGCTGGAAGCCCCCTCCTTCCCCCTGCCCAGGGCCTCTCTGCGCAGACAGCTGCCCTCCAGCATCTCCAAGAACCAGGGAAGGAGGCTGCCTCGCTGCGTGGTAAAGGAGCTTAGTCTGCCACAGCCCAGGTACAAAAATCCTAATACTTCAAGGTTTTCTTAATCCTGCCCATCTTAAATTTGAAAGAAGGGCTCCGGCTTGCTTTAGTTAAGTCCTACCCTAAGCCCTGAAAACGGTTAAGTGCTTGAAATGGGTTTCAGCATAGCTTTTGTTCATCAGCTGGAGAAGAGCAGGGCGGCCCTGCCCCAGAGCTCTCTGCTAGTCCACAGCGCTGTCAAGAAACACATTGGGACATGAAAACATTAGTACACTGCACAGCTACAGTACTCGAGCGACTCCAGTCTTGGTCTTCAGCTACAGAGGTCAGGGGGAGTGTCACGGGGGACAGGAAGACATTTTCTCTGCAAACCCAACAGTGGTTAAACCTTCAGTGTTCCCCAGGAGGGGGAAGGCCCAGCTTAGCCGGGTAACACTTCATCAGACCTTGAAGACAATGCGTCAATACAAAAACAAACAAAAAAAAAATTACCTGTGCTATGGTGTCAGGTTTGTGCTTAAAAAAGAAAAGAAAAAAATTCAAGTCTAACTCAAGATTCCTTTTCTGTTTCTGCCCCCCCCCCCCCCAAAAAAAAAAAATCAAAAGCAGCTTTGCCCAGGTTTTAAACCCCCAGCTGCTCCAAGCCCCCAGGGGCTGGAGGGTCGGGGTAGTGGCCTCAAACACACACAGTAGGTGCACGGCCAAGCTACTGCAACAGTCTGGGTACCACAGCCAACCCAAAAAAACAAATAAACCCCCAAATCAACCCTAAACTACACAACTGCATGAACGTGGTGCCTCACTAATGCTGCTGGGCTGAGCTGCTGCTGCTGGATGCTCAGGTGCTGTTGGTCTCCAGCCACAGCTCAGGCTGGTCCTGCTGCTGCTGGTGAGCAGGGGGGACACCCTCTCACCCCCCCACACAGTCTCATCAATTTGCAAATGAGGTAAATAATTAACTACTGGGTCACAACAGGCTGGGAGGGAACAGGATGTCACCAACTCTGGTGCCCACCCGGCACCACATCCCCTGGTTTTACCTTTTCTTTCCTCAGCCAAAACCATCTGCTACCTCACCACCCCCCCGCCGCCCCGGGATTGCATTTGGCCCCCCCCAGCAGCCACAGACACCCCCTGCTCCCAAATCCCCCCCTTCATCAACCACACAATAAAAAGAGCTCAGGCCTGAGTTCCCACAGCTGAAGAGAAACGCGGCTCGTGCTGTGACACCGCACCTCTGCCCGCAGCGGGACCGGAGCCACCGTGTCACCTCCCGGCACAGCCACACCCGGGCACCAGGGAACCACCAGCACCATTTTCCCCAAAACAAGTAATTTTTTTTTGCACTGAGAAAGCTGCAGCATCCAGTCAAAAAGCCAAAAAGCACCAAGCAGCAGCTCAGCCAAGCACGAGAGGGCTCTGGGATTCACAACCTGGTGCTGCCATCACCCGTGGAGAACAGAACAGAACAGACAACCAGCGTCAGACTGGAGCATAACCCCGTCACAGTCGTGGCTGCTTGGAGGGCTGAGCACCCAGCTCTTACCAAACCACAACTCCAGGATTGATCCCCCTCGTGCCAAACCTCCTCCCCAGCTGCACGGGGAGAAGGGCAGCCCCGACGGGAAACTCCCTCAACACCAGCACAGAGGGGATTGAACACACTTGGATTTATTCCATCAATCATTCAAGGCTTCAGACGGGACCCCCCCCCGCTCCCCCCTGCAGCCGCTCCCGCTATCTGCAGCCACACTCATCCACCACCATGTCCTCGTAGTGCCTCAGCACCACGTTGTCGTCGTTATCGTAATAGAGGATGGAGATGGGGGACAGCCTGACGGGGACACAGCAGGGCTGGGGGGTCCCCTCGGGGTCCAGCGAGTGCACCATGGTTTGGAGGATGGCGTGGTTGGTGCTGTTCAGCTCCGCTGTCAGGGGGAAGGGGCACTCGCCCAGGCAATAATTCGCCATGTAGCCCTGCGGGGCAATGATCCAGTTCTCCCAGCCGACGTCGCTGAAGCTGATGTAAAGCCGCCTGGGCTTGCAGAGGTTGCTCGGCGTGACGAGGGGATAGTAAGCACTCCTCCTCCTCCTCCTCCTCCTGGAAGCCTTGCACTGCTGCTGGCTGAGGGTCACCACCAAGAGAGAGGTGTCCAGGAAGGAGTCGATGCTGGCGCAGAGGCTCTGCAGCCCCCCGCTCGCCACGGCTGACGCGCCGTCGCTCACCGAGATCTCCAGGATCAAGCCCAGATTCCGGCTGTACGCCCTCCAGTCCTTCGCCACCCCGCTCAGGTTGAAGAGGAGAGACTTGTGCAGCCGGGCGAAGGACTGCTCCACCAGCAGCTTCCGGCTGTGCTCGTGGGAGGGCATCCCCCGAAGAGACATTTGGGAGGTTTGGTAGAGCCTCAGCTCAAAAACCTGCCCCTGGCTGGACGTGTGGTAGGAGTTGTGGCTGAATTTGATCTCTAGCTGAGCCATCGTCAAGTGCTCGCCCTCCTCCAGCACGGAGAGGTTAAAATACAGACGCTTCTGCAGACACAGCAACCTCTGGGGCTGCCCGTTATGAATGAAGTGGCCTGACAAAGGAGAAATAGAGGTGGCGGTGGTTGCACCCTGTTACGCTGAGCAGGATCAGCCTCCCAGCGCTCCCGGTTTAAGCTCCTGGCTGCGCAGCAAGAGGCAGATGGGGCTGGCAGAGGCGGGATCAGGACGACAAGGCTGCAGCGAGGGCCATCAGCCCGATGGCACGGCCTTCAGAAAGGTCTGGAGGCACAAACGCAAGCCTGGGCTCCAGCCCGCGGCACGGGGACGCTACAGCCCTTCCAGCACCTCCTCTAGATGCTCCTTAACATCTTGGTGTGTTATTTTTCCCCAGCCATAACTATCTCCCCCCTCCAGGACAGCGGGGTGGGTGTGGGTGCCGGCTGTTTGGGATGGAGGGGAAAGGAGGGCAAATAGCAGCAGATTTTAGGAACCAGTAAGCGCCTGTTTTAGCCAGCCCTGGGTTTCCAGCTGAAATCTGGAAACACAAGAGAAGTGAGCTCCGTGGCGTCTCGAGACCTAGAGGACACTGACCAAACGATTGCCAAGTAACTGCGAAGGGCTCAGAGAGGCCACAGGCTGAAGCACCCAGATGTGCCACGTGGTCAAGGTGGAGGCAAAAGGACAAAGAGGAAGAAGAGGGAGGGGGGACACAGCCAAACAGCCGAGCAGCCCGTCCCTTCCCGAAGCTGATCCCACTCGCTGCACCCGCAGCCCCAGGGAATGGAGGAGCTGCCCCCATCCACCACCACCAGCCCAGCGGGTCAACCCAGTCACCTGGGATCCAACCAGCATCTCTGGGCTGCATTAGGTGACTCCAGGGCAGAGCTTTACACAGCTCCACACCCTCACCCACAGCCTCATCTGCTGACTCATTTCTAAGCTGTAAATAATTATCTGCAACATCCAGAGGGACCAGAGCTTACACAGCAGTGATTTCTCCTGAAGACCAATTCTGGGCACTGGCGTGTCCTCCCCCAGCCTCTCCTCCCCACACCCAAGAGACAGAAAAAGGATTGGAGCAAAGTCTCCCACAGCCCAGAGATCAGAGGTGCTTCCAAAAGACGTTTCTGTACCTTGGTCAGCGAAGACACGGATGATGTTCCCAGGGACATTAAATTCCTCCACCCTACAGGCATCTGCCAGGTCTTTGTTTGTAGAGGGCAGCGTCTTTCTCTTCTGGAAGATCCGCCAAAGCACAGACGGCACAGGACCGGGGGTTTTGGGGCTGGGCTTGGTGCTCAAACCCAAGGATTTTAACAATAAACTTTCCTGCAAACTTAACTCCATCCCCAGAACCACGCTCAGGAGAGCCCAGGCAAGGCTGGCTTTAAAGCTGGGGAGAAGCCACATTGCTCTGCTCCTTGTCCTGCAGACAAAGAGCAGCCTGGGCTCGGGACCTGAAGACAGGGGCCAGGGGGGTGTTGATTGCCTGATTGGAGCCTTTGATCTGCTTAGTGCTCAATTAGCACAGAGGGATTCCCAGGACTGGGCAGAGGGTGTGAACGGTCCCTCCAGGCTCCTCAGGACCTGTTAACCCTTTGAGGCTGCGTGGCAAAGGGCCGGCTGCCCTCCTCCCTCAGAGCTCCCACAATCTCTCCGCACCACTGAGGTCCAACCACCAAGTCCTTGGTGGCAGGGAAGCGGCTGCTCATCCCCACACAAAGCTGCCAGCAAGTCAAGCACTGCTCCCATCCTCTGCAGACATCCCACCCAGATCCAGGGGCAAACACAGATCTGGGTCTCCTCTTGCTTCTTCCTCCCAAGTCAGCTTTTTTTACTTTTTTTTCCCCCCCAATCACAGCATCCAACACTTTTCTCTTAAAGCCGTCAATTTCCAGCACACCAAATCATCCAACTCTTGCTTCAGCTCCCTGCTGCACACACCGCCCTGCCTGCAAGACACAGCCCCTGGGCCAGCACAAAAAGCCATCAGAACCCATCCCCAGCACCCACCCTCGGCGCGGGGTCCCTGCCCCAGCCAGGCAGAGGGAGCCCCTTTCTCCCCACCCCAGCCAGCACAATCGATGTTACACAGTGCTGGCCAGTGAGTTACCCAGCTAAATGTTGAAGCCTGGGCAAGCCAGTATTATAAAATTCAGTTTACACACATGTGTGCTGACCAGGGATCACCGTTACCCCAACTCGGTACCGTCGCTGCCCCAACTCTGCTACAGCTGAGCAAAAAGAGGCCTGGGATAGCAGTTCCCTTCTTTTCCTCCTTCCTGCAAATCCTGCTTGAAAGCCAAGGAACTAAAGCACTGAGATGTACCCCACTGCAACCCTGCTAGGCGATGATGAGAAGGTGACAGATCCTGCCACAGCTTGGGACAGTTTCCATCAGCCCAAGTCACATTTTGCTTTCTGTTTACTGAGGAACTTTTCCTGTGGCTCACACAATGAGCCTGGAGTTCAACAAATATGATAAACCAAACAAGAAAAAACAAAACAAAACAAAACACAAAACCCCCCACAATTAACCACCCTCTGATGCCTGGAATTAATGCCCTGAATTCCCCCCTCTGCTTCCTGGCGTCCCCAGCTGGGAGGGAGCTCCGTTTCCCCAGGAGGACACGGCTCTCCTGGCCCCACGAGGGGAGAGCAATGGGACAGTCTTGGTCTGAGGGTCTGTAAAATCCATGAGGCTTTGCAGAGACACACAGCCTGGCCCAGCCTCGGGCCCCTGAAAGGCTCAGGGCTGGTGCTGCCTGGAAAACCAACACAGGGAGCAGAAACCATTTGTTCTTCACTTGAGCAAGCAGACATTGCTGGGTGAGAGCCTACAGATCCCTCAGCAGGGGACCCCACGGGACTGGGACTGGCTTTTTAAGCAACTATAAGACTTACATAGGCTTTTTAAGCAAATTAAATCACCTGGCCTTCATCCAGCAGAACAGGAGGCCAGAACAATGCTCCAGGGCAGGGTTTCCAGGCAGACCTGCTCATGGAAACTGTGCTGTGCCTCCAGATATATGTGGGCAGCTCTCTATTAGTGATCCCTCCCGGGGAGGAAGGCTCAGAGGTGCAGTGCATCACCTCTCTAGTCCCTGCTTGGCAGCTAGAGAAGAGCTGGCTTTGGGCTCCCCTTGCCTGGGACAGTGATGCCAGTGGAGGAGAGGACGTTTCCCTCCCCAGTTTGGTGCTGGGTCAGAGGACCCTTCAAGGGCTGTTGAGGAAGGGTCAGTGCAAGGTTCCAACAATAATGATGGGAAATCACAAAGGGACCAAGAATAGCTGTGGGGCGGAGTGACAGAAGAAATACCAGGGGACCTAAAGCCAGCTCCAAATCCTACCTGGACCAGCAAAGCCACCAGCCTCTCAACTGAACCAGCACGGACTGGCTACAGAAAGCACACCAGCATCAGGCGAAGCCTGGTCACAGGCAAGCCCCAGGAGGGGCCTGATCCTGTCAGTGGCATCTCTTCCCCGGCTCCGGGCAGGGGATGAAGGGGGATCGGGGATGAAGTTCTCCTTGTGCCTTTCATTTGCTGGGTTTGAGTGCAGGGTCCTGGGTCGGTCCCCAGATCCAGCCAGGCTGCAGCAGCCACACTTCCCTTATAACCGCTTGTCTTTTACAAGTCCATTCTTCAGGTGCATTCTGTGAAAGAGAGCACAGCAGGCAGTGAGCCTCGGTCTCCGCACTGACTCTCCCTCCCTTACTTTTACAAATCACTACTGGGGTCAGACCTGTCTTGATAGGCTCATGCAGACAATTTGTCCCCAGGTCAGCCAAGACCTGCTCTGTGGGATCCAGCACCTTGTCAGACTCTGTGCTCACCATGTGAAGTGCAGACGCTGCTCAGAAAGAACAGCCTCAGGCAAAGAGAGTCCTGCACAGTGAGCAGGGCAAGGAGTGCGTGAGGATTCATGGGACAGAAAGATGGATGGACACACCACAGTGCCTAGGCATGGAGACACAAAGTCCTCCCTGACACTTGCAGCAATGTTTTTATACTCTGTGCCAAGGCATCCTGCTCTCTTGCCTTCCAGCCCCGTGGTGAACCCTTCGACAGTGGCTCTGGGGCCCCGAGAGGTCTGCCAGCAGCCTTTCCCCGAGGCCACAGATGCTGTACCTGTGTGTCATCCCCCCCTGCCCACATACCCTTCTTTCAGAGCACTGGGCAGCTGGAGTCCAGCCTCTTTCTTCCTGGCCGTTGTGGTTTTCTTGCTGTCCTCCACGTCGTACTCACGCACATCATTCACCTCTTGCATCTGCCCCATCAGCACCTTGGCCACAAACAGGACGATGTACTGGGGAGGGGAGAGAGAGACACCGTCAGCCACAAACTCCAAGGCTTAGAGCTGTTCCACCCAACCTACTCACTCCCACTTGCTAAGTGGGACCTTTCTCCACTGCCCTCGACCCCAGGGAGGGCAGAGCAGATCCCTCCGGGATGGCCAAAGCCCTGGGACGTGGCCGATGACCTGCAGCAGCAGGAGGCAGCGCTCCTGCGACCACCCTTAACCCATTTCACCTCCACAGGATGATGAACTCGGATGCTACCCCGCTCTGCCCAGCGTCGAGTCTGCTGACATGAGCCCTCTGAGTGTCCCCCCCCACCCGCTTCCACCCCCTCCCCAAAGCTTTAGGGGGATGCCAGGGCATTTACACCACATCACGTTCCAGCCTGCCCCAACTGCTGTTATCTCTCCCTCCCCGGGGTGAGAGACAGTTGGAATTCCAGAGTATAGGAGCCCCCCGGGCACTGACCTGGGGTTCCCTCCTCCCCTCCAAGCCATCCCCCAAGTCCTCTGAATCCGCCTCCATCCCTGCAGTCCCCCCAGCCGCCCCCAAGACAGGCAGGCAGCGGGTGCCATGCAGGAGAGCAGAGGAGGGAGAAGCTAGCGTAGGGGTTGCTGAGCTCCCCCCACTCACCAGAAACCAGTAGATGTTCATCAGAGTGAGGACAAGGAGCAGAGCATTGAAGAAGAAGTAGAAGGGGATATTAGGGACCGACTGGAGGCTGGAGTAGCAAGTGGCGTAGAGCACCTTGAGAGGGAACCAGTAGAGACGGAACCAGAACCTGCCAGGGCAGAGGGAGCAGGGTGGGTTTAGTGGCCCACAGGGATCCCGGGAGAGGCGTGAGACCCAGCGTGGCTTCCCCCAGCACAACCTCCTGCCTCCGGGCAGCCCCTGCGCTTGGCTTCGCACGGACCCCATGAAAGGGAGAGCACAATTTCTGTGGGCAGAAAAGGCTTGGCACCAGAGGCAGGGCAGAGAAAGGGCTTTCTCAGGGTAGAGAGGCAGGTCTACACTGCAGATTCTCTCAGCTGGATGGGGGACAGGAGGGGAATGTAGCTGGAAGGTTTTCTTAGTCCTGTGCATCCCCAGTTTATCACTAAAAACCTTTGCCACTCTCCCTCCCTCAAATTGACGACTCATGTTGCCACCCCTGCTTTGCAGAGGAGCCTGCAGAGAGGGAGGAAGGACACAAAGGGACAAATGAGAAGTGACAACCTGCAAGTTACCCATCTCTAGTCTTTTTTTTTTCTCCTGCCTTGCTCCAAGAGGAACAGCAAGGCTGGAAACTGGGACAGCCCCACGTCCCGCTTCCTTCTTGCAACAGTGCTTCTTACTGCTAAAAACCAAGCGAGTGGGAAAATGGAAACAGCTCCTCCTCCCCTGGGGTCATTTGTCATGCTGCAAGCGAGATTTCACAGGCACTTCTGTGGTGACAGACGGCAAAGTGACTACAGAAGGATTCCAAGCCCAGCATGGGGTCAGGCTCTGCGGGAACCTCTTCCCAAAGAGTTTTTGAAAGGGCTTGTTCCCATGCACACAAACCCAGCTTGCTGTACCCCGAGGCACCGGGGGGGATTGCAAAAGCTGGCAAGGACGGTTGGAAGTGGGATCAGGCAGACAAGCTCACCAGCTGACGCTGAAGGTGAGGCAGCCAATGTTGGAGATGACGTCATTGAGGCGATGGTAGACTCCCCCCCGGTGCTTGAAGTAGACGTTGAGCTTGGTGAATTCCAGCTGCACGTCATTGACATCGTGCAGGAAGAGCACGAGGATGCCCACGTTGTGGTACCTGGGGGAAAAAAGGGAGCAGGGAGGGAGATGTGTGGGACGCCGGGTTGACGTTAGCGCCCAGCACCCATGATGGTCCACCACGCCGGGAGCAGACAGACTCCCTAAACAATCCAGACCTGGCCACGGCACAGCGCACCAACGTGCTGCAGGGCGGCACTGGGAAATGGCTCAGGGGCACTGGGATTGCTGCGGTAGCGTGGAGGCAGGGGAGAATCCACACCAACCCAACAAGAGTCATCCTGCCGTGGTGCCCGCGAGCACAGAAAACCTGCAGCTTTTGCTGCGCAGCTGCCCAAAGCTGTCCCAGGCAGGTTGCAGAGGGGCAACGTCGCGGCCGAGGGCCTCACCTGAACGCGTACGAGAAGGCTATGAGGGTCAGCGTGACCACGTGGTGAAGCAGCATGACAACGGAGTCCTTGCGCCACGTGTCCATGTAGGCGGTGGCGTAGATGGAGTGTCCGTAGAAGCTGCACTGCAACAGGTAGGCGATGGCGATGTCCGTGGGCACGTCCATGCCCTTCTTCCAGTCTGGGGTGGGACAAAGACACCCGGGTGAGCCCAGGGCCACGAGCACAGAGGTTCCGTCAGCAGCGGAGAGACGGGAGGGCAAAGAGCTGGGGGCGAGCAGCCGCCAGCGCTGCCCCAAGCAGCCCTGGCACTTGGCTGTGCTCAGGAGCTCCAGCTCCCTTTCAGGAGCTCAGCAGATGCAAAGGAGGCAAAGGCTGGAAGGGAACCCACGTAAGTTTGGCTCCCAAACTCTGCCTTTGGCATCAGATCCGCTCCCTCTCCTAGACCTAAGGGAGAAGCCTTGATTTACTTCTCTCCTGCTTTAAGGACTCAATCCCATTCCCCCCACCCCCCGCAGCCGACACAACCCAGCCCTTGCTGGCTGAAATAGCCACTAGATGACTCTCTCTGTAATGAAATGAAGGGCCACAGCCTGTTGTGCCCTTTCTGCACCCACAGCATCACAGAAAAGGCAATTTAGGGGGTTCAGTCCTCTCCTTTGCTCACCCCAACTCCCATTTCCTTGTTCAACCCAGATATCCCATGAACCTGGAGATCCTAATCCATCCCCACTTCTCCCCGGTTCTTACTGTACCATAAAAGACAGATGGTGGGTCGTAGAAGAAGGGATAGTCTGTGAAGAAGAGCAGGTAGATGCCATATGACCAGGATAACGTGTAGAAAAGCAGCTTCCAGGCACTCTCAGGCATCTTGGCAGCATCTTTCGGCTGCAAGTTGCACCACTCCCCGAAGGGCTGCAAGGAGAGGGGAGAAGTATCGTCACACGGGGCAAAAAGACAGGCCCTGGGGAGCCCGGGCTGGAGGTGACCGAACCTCCAAGAGACTCGAGCACTGCACGATGCGTGCAACACCAGACAGGGCAAAACCAAGGTCACGAACCCCATTTTTCTGGCCTCCTTTACAGCACAAAAAAGGAGGTCAAAGAGGCTCTAGAGAAAGCCTGAAGCAGGGAAAAACATGAGGTTGGAGATCCTTCCACTCAGGCCTGGGCACGGAGGAAAGCTGCGAGAGCAGAGCCTCACAGAGGAGGCAGGAGCCTACGGCGTGTCCCACAGCCTGGGCACCACGCCATCACCCTCGCTCCAGGAGTGGCGCTGACCACAGCTGGCTTTTGCAGAACAGGGTCAATAACGAATAAAATAAAAATCAAGTCCTAACTGCGCAAGGGAACCCAGAAGATGAAGCTGTAACAGTACTACCCTGGGCACACGGACCTTGCAGCACTGCCAACTCCCAGGAAAGGACCTTTCAACTGAGGAAGCAAAGGCTTTGCAGCGTCCTAAACGCACGGCCACTGCTGCTCCCCAGCCAGCACAGCACAAGCCTCCCCCGGGCGTGCAACCAGCAGCGGAGGGGGCCAGATTTGCATGTGAGGAGTCAGTAAAGGCTGGGGCACTGGGACCTCTTTGCTCTTTCACACCTACATCCCCAGCAGCTTTTTTAGCTGACCAGTGCTGAAACGCTGCTGGTTTTTCCCCAGCTGTGGTTTGCAGCACCCCCCCACACCCGTCAGGACTCAAAAAGAGGAGGCAAAGCCTCCCCAAATATGGCCAAAGCGAGGGGAAGGGAAGACGAGCAGGTCTGCCGATCACCCACGCTAATCAGAACGAAACTTTCTCACGCTGACTTCCTCCCGGTCCTGAGGATGAGGAGCACCACCCAGCTCTCCTGAATGTCTCTCTGCAACAGCGCGAGGGCTGCGCCACCGAGGCCAGAGACAACTTGGGAATCATAGTAAAAGCAAAGCCCCAGCAGGAGACAGGCTCAGCTTCCCAGCAGTAAAAGGGAGCGGCAGATGCTGCCCTTCGCCTCGGACCGTGTGCCGGCAAGCGAGCGATGCCGCACCCCGAGCGTGCCCTTAGCTCGGCCAGGGCTCCGGGCATGGATGTTTTCCCTCCGTGGCAGCTGAGCAACACCAGACACCATTTCTGCTTCTCATCACAAGAGTGACAGAGCCGTATCAGCACGGCCAACCTCCGCAGCCCCCGGCCGTGGAGGGGAGGGGGTGCTTAAAGTCCAGAAGGAATCATTGCTGCCCAAAACACAGATAACACCCAAAGGCCCCCCAGCTGAGAGCACCTCAGATAAGCTTGAGATGAAAACAAAATGCCTGCAAAGTAACTGTACCCAGCCCCGGTTCAGCACTTTCTGCAGCCAGTGCTCGGCTCCTCGATGCTCAAAGGCTATATTAAGGTCCCAGCTGTCTCCAGGCAGTGGCTGGTCTGGCTTTTAGCCCCTCTCTGCATCAGATTTTCAAAGGACTCCACTCCAAGCATTGTCCCAGCCTAGCAGTGCTTTGTTCTAAGCTCTGGATTTCCCAGCACTGGTCTGACCTGGAAGCACCAGCCCCACAAAACTCTGCCAAGTTGTCCATATCCCGTCCAGCTCGAGAGGCAAGGCTCTGGCCTCCCCCTCCGCGTCTCGCATTCAGAGCACGGCTGTCCTCGCTGAGACCAGGAACACGCTGCTGCCAAGGCTTCTTCCAACAGGAGCCACAGTAGGAAAAAGAGGAAGCAGCTTGAAGGGTGAATAAATAATGCAGAAACAGAAAGTCCTGAGCCCAGAAAGCATGAATTATTTGTGTCCCCATAGAGTGGAGCACAGAAGCAGCTCAGATATAGGGGCAGATCACCACGCTGCCACAACAGCAAGCTGCTGAGCCCCCTGCCCTCCTCAGCCAGGGCTCAATTTAGGATGCTGAGCTCAGCCTCAAATCCCTGCTGCAGCCTTGCCGCCGATCGCCAGCCAAGTCGTTTCACTGCTTCTCTGCACCCCAGTTCCCTACCTACAAAGGGGGAACAACAGCACATTTCTACCCCAGGTAGGCAGAGCTGATGACACGGATCATCACTCATGGGGCAGGCACACATGACTGAGACAACCCACAGTTTAGGGACACACGGACCCTTGGCAGAGACGGCAGCAGTGCAGCGAATCGCCACTGCAAGCCTGCAGTCATGGCCTGACAAACAGCCCACTGCGGGCACGGCAGCAGCTCCCGGTCTGGAGCGAAAGCAAAACCCAGGGGAGGGTTCCCCCTGCTCCAGCTCGTGGTGGCTAATGCTCAAAGAGGTTTTAGCCCTCGCTGCGTATGTGGTTAATGACAAATCCTGGAGAGAGCCCCCCTTAAATAACCACAGGGCATCTCAGGCTGTACCCTGAGCACCACAGAAACGGGAGCTGGCTCTGAAGCAGGCATGGGGAAGGATCGGAAGAGAACCACCATCACCCAGGGGCTGGGAGGACAAACTAACGTCCCTGGGGAGGCCCCACCGAAACCTGGATGACTTGCAGGGGGAAGCGCAAGCCCAGGAGATGCACAGCCCAGCCCAGCCCGTGCAGGAGACGCGCCTGCCCTCTCCCTGGGGGTGGGAGATGCACGAGGAGGGGGGGATGTCCTCCCGTTACCCGCCTGCTGTTCCCATGGCAACGGTGCAGAGATGCCTGTTGCTAAGGGTGACGGGTGCTGCGGCGGGAACAGCGGATCTGGCTCCGGCTGAAAGAGCCCGAAGCTCTTGGCAAGTGATGTAATGGGGCTTTGCTTAAAGGGCAACCAGCTCTTCCTCCCTCCTCCTCCTCCTCGTTACCCCCCACGCAAACCTTCACAGGCATCTTCTGATTCACTTGTCAAATTAACCGGTCCGAGGGACGTGACTGTTCCCCCGCAGCACCACCCTGCACAACTTGGGGGGCCGGGGGGAGGGAAGGAGCAAAGCCGTGGGTGAGAACACGCTGCGAGAGCAGTTTGGAGCTGGAAAGAGAAACCGAATGGAAACTGTCGCTGCCCACAGCTCTGCTGAAGTGTCAGAAAAATACTCGTAGCAAAAAGCAAACACATGCTCTCTCCCTTTTTACAGCCTCCGGCACTAAAGGAAAGCAGCCAGTCCCCTTAAATCTACAACCGGCTGAAGCAGCAGGACACGAGTCTTTCCAGCGAGCTGGCAGGCTTGCAGCGATGCGTTATGAATTGAGGCTTGTTAACAGAGGAATTGTACCCCCCAGACCGCCCCCATCGCCTCTGCCACCTCCCCGGCCTAGAGACGAGGGCCCGGCCAAATCCCAGCCGCGCCGCGTCTGGCTTCTGGGCACAACTTGTTCCCCGGAGGAACACAAAGGAATGGCTGGCACGAAGCATCCTCAGCCCAGGGAACTGGCAGCTTTACATCAGCTTTTACTCAATGCAGATGATAATGATGAGCGAGCAGAGCTCCGGTTCAAAACCTGGCCATAACCAACAGCCACTGGCCCTTCCGCGGCGGCGGCACAGCTCCCCGCAGCGTGGTGGGTGTCTTCTCAGAGTTGTGACTGTGCCTTTCCATCCCAAGGGACTACACGTGTCCCCCCGTACCGGCTGCCACCCCCCGCCACATCAGGGGTGGGGCACAGGGCCTGCAGAAGGGAAGATGCAGTGAAACATCACCGTTCTCTAAACCCGAAGAAATGAGTCTCCTGGAGCTGTCAGACCCAAGGGCAGCGACTGCCACCTCCCTGCTAGGAAAGGGGAATGAACTGGTCCCAGCACGAGGAGCCCCAGCTCTCATTGCTCCATCCTACACCAGGCACTGAGCTGCTCAGCGCCTCAGTTTCTCCGAGGCGCAGCAGCCAAGACACTGGGAAGCTGTGTTAGGCTCTGGACAACACTTTCCAGATAAACACGTAGAAAAAGTCACTACAACAATAGCAACAAACCAACAGACGTTATTTCTTCCTCGGTTCCTCCTGCAAGCAGTAAAAATTTGCCCCTAAGAGAGAAAAGCAATAGAAGACGCTCTTTGAAGACAAGACACAGCTGCCCACAGGGTGCTGCGGGGGCTGAATAATCTCCTCATGCCTGACTGCTGACACAGCGGCACAGGGAGAGCAGCCCCCGCTCCAGCAGTGCAGCTTCATTCCCCGGGGTGAAGAAAAGACCCATTGTTGTGGCTTTCTCCCCTCGAGTTTCCAGGGTTTGGGCTTCAAAAAGCGGGCAGAGCCCCGTGAGACGAGCCGAGGAGGCAGCTGAGCCTTCTCCCACCCCTGGGCCCGGCCGGCGTCCTCTGCTCTCAGCAGAGCTTGTGTTGGGGGGCTGGTTTTTGGGACAGCGATAATTCCCCGCCTCGAGCCACACACCCAGTGCTGGGGTTTGGAAAAACAAGTCTTGATGATACTGTTGGGTGGGGAAAAGCTGCATAAATCACTGAAGGGGATAACAGGGACCCTTGCTTTCCAGCTTCCACATCCTTCCTGGGGCTTAACTATCACCCACCTAGAAACCCTGCTTCCCAAAGTACATTTTTCAATTTACACAACACTTTTTCCTTGCAGAGGACACTGTAATGTCCTACAAATTCTGAGACCGCTCAGATAGCAAGATGACTAGTGTGTCTGGGCCAAAAATGGAAAACATTTACCCGCTGTGGAGAAAAGGCAGACAGCCATTAAGGACAGATGTGATACCTGATGAACATCACCAGGTTCAGAGGCAGGATTTATCCAGAATGGATTTTGCTCGCTCGTGGGCTTACACTTAGCTGACTTCAGGGACTTTAACTCCCAGCACCAGAGATGGCTGAGGGTAGTTGAGGGCTGCAAGGGTCTGCCTAGGCTTGGCACAGCTGTTCTGGATCACCTTTGAGTGTGAGTCTAGGTGTGTTCTTAGTTTTATCTATTCAAGTTCGCTGCACTACTCAAGACCTGCTCAGGAATGGGGACTGTCAGCACAGGCTTGCTGAGCTCCAGGCTCTTCACCAAGCTTTTCCCAAGCGGAGTCGCCTGGTCCTATTCCAACGGCACTTGGCCTCGGCCCTGCTGGGCTCAGCTGCCCTCCAGGATGTTTAACTAATGCAGAGATGCTAGAGTTGCTGCTTTTTAATCAAACTCCTCAGAGCCTGGCTGCAGCCGCTCTCCGCAGAAAGGACACAGTGAGGACGGCGGCTGTCAGAGACCAGCGGAGCTCAGGCACTCACAAACCGAGGCGGCTTCCAGGGATGGGAACTTGCCCAGAACTAGCCTGGTCTTCATTTCTGCAGGGGGTTCTGCAGCTCCAGCGAGCTTGTACGATCGATGTGCCCCAAGTATCATTCGTTTGTGCACTCAGAAGTCAAGGGGACCGAGAGCAGCGACTCTCAGGTCAGACCCCAGAGAGGAAGGACACGTCCCCTCAGGCCTTTGCAGGGATGCCTGTGCCCCCAGTGTAGCTGATTTGGTTGGAGAGGGAGTCTTTCCCTACCCAGTGATCCACATTTGCTCAGCTAACTGGAGTCTTTCCTACACCAAAACACCTCCTTTCCGTATTTGCACCAAGTGAGGATTCTGTGAAGAAGGGACAATGAGCCAAAAATTATCTTTGCTCTAAGGATGATGCGAAAACCAGGTCTAGTGCACAGGCACCGACCGAGCTGTTGTAGCCGGTGAAAATCCAGGCTTCCCAATCCTAACCAAACCCCTCCCATCCCAGGCACAACCTTCACTGCTTCTCCAACCCAACTGGGAGACCTTTTGTGACAAAGATGTTGCAGGATAAATGCTGCTGTGGTCCTAGGAGAGAGCGAGGAGCCTACCTCATCCTCTTCTCTCGATCCCACTGATAAAAACAGGGTCATGCAGATAGCACAGGAAGAGATATATGGCTTTGATGCGCTCGTTTCTCAGAGGAGCAGTCACGGCCAGAGCTACGTGAGGTGCACTTTACGCTCCAAGCCTCAAGGCCTTGTGGTAAGAGTCATTTCCTCTTCAGAGGCAGAGAATCACAATCCAAGTGGCAAGATTTATTATTTATAAATAACTTGCAGGAAGATAGCGTTCTTCGGACACTGAGTGGATTCATTTTTATAACCCTGAGTGTTTCAGTTCTTGCAGGGAACATGAAGGGATTCAAAATGAGGAAGGACACTCTCTGAGCCTGATCTGGGAAGCGAAGTCCTGAGCATGGGAGAAGTTTCCTCCCAGGGTTAAACAGGAGGTCTTTTTTCTCCCTGACTTTCCTCCTGAACAACCCCGCTCCTTCACTGCCCATGCAGGGGCCATGCAATACGAACTGATTTCCTAAATACTGCCAGAGTTTTTAGAGGAAAGCCACAACCTCCACCTTTTCCCATAGCAACTCCAACAGAATAAACAGAGAAAAGCTTCAGATCCTTTTAGAATACAAATATACATATATATATAGAGAGAGAGAAAGTTGTTTCTCCCTACTGCTACCCTTCCACCCATCCGCTGGGAGAAAACCGATGCCGTCACAATTTCGCTCAGCATCTCATCACTATAACGCATGCAGATGTAGCCACAAGAACTGGCTCCGATCAACCCCCCTCACTCTTCTGCAATTACAAGCGTGACCCATTTCTCCAAGGGAACGATACCTCAGCACTCACACAGGCTGCCCTGCATCCTCCGAGGGCACCGAGCGGACTCTGCTGCTCGAATGAGGGTTTGGTTTTTTTTTTTCACACTCTGATCACTGCTCTCTCTGTAAAGGTGAGATTTACACAAGGAGAAACTGGAGCACAAAGGAAATTACCTCCGGTTTGTTACGACAGACCTAGGGTTACCTCCAGCCTCGTTCAACCCCGTCCTAGCGCGCCCAGGCGCTGTACGCTGCCCGTCAGTAGCCACGGGCAGACAGGGGTGCAGGTAACAAGGAGAAATTCAGTCCTGCATAAAAAGCCAGCACGTCACCTTGCCTCCACACCACTTCAGCAGCTTCAAATAACTCCAGAGGACTTAGACTGGAACCTTGCACAAGGTCAAGAGCCTCCTGGCATTACCGGATAAGCAAAGACAGCTCTGAACAGCAAAGAGCCACTCTAAAGGCAGGCTCAGCGGCAGAGAGAAGACAGCAGTAACTCCCGATAGCCTAATTATGGGATGCAAGGCAGCTGTCTTCAAGCTGCGGAGCAGCCTCTGAAGGAAGCAGTTCACCCAGGGAACAAGGCCTGTCCCACATAGCTGCAATGAACCACGCACGCTCTCGTAGCTACTCAAGGCCTCGTGCCACCGCACTCATGGGTAGGTGAGAAAAAGGTCATTTCTGCGTCCCTGAGAGCTGAGGACTATATCCCCTGACCCAAAATACTGCATTTCTGTTGCTTCTGCCTTCCAGGTCTGATCAAGGCCAAGGTAACCGCAGAGCAAAGTGCACAGCATCTCTCTAGGAAAGCAGCGGGGAAGAAATCGCCTCAGCTGGGCCTGAGCCATCAGAGCGAGGGGAGAGCTCATCCCATGGCAAACGCCTTTCACAGCGAGAAATTAAACCGGGCTGGTCTCCACTCTGGGGGACACCCTGCTCACCCTGACCCTTACAAAGTGGGGAGGGGACAACGGCCAGCAAATCCGTTTGGAGGCCGCGAGGGTCGGATGGTGGCACCCCTGCCTCCCCCCACGCTCCCGAGGAGGTCAGCCCGGCACTGCAGCACAGCAGCCGTCCCCACACCGTCCTCACCGCCGCACCGGGGAGGGGAAGCGGGGAAGGACGTTTTTCACGCAAACCACGGCTGACACACGCAAGGAAGGTGGTCCTCGCCTTCCCCCCCGTGCAAGAAATAACACACACACACCCCCCCGTCAATCCCTGCCGGGCTGCGGCTAAAGGAACATGGCGGGGAGGGGGGAGCTCTCCCGGTGCATCGGGATGCTCGGGCCTCCAGGATGCAGCCTTGGGGGATGAGGGAAGATCGATCATGCAACAACACCCCCCCACACACACACACCCCCTCCCCTAAACATGCAGCCCCCGGAGAATGGGAACCTCCTTTAGAGCCACCCGGGGTGGAGAATTGAAGCCCCCCCCCCCCCCCCCATGCAACCGGCCCCCTCGGAGGGAGATGGGAGCCCCCCTCATCCCGGTGTCCCCGCCTTACTCTCCCATCCCGCAGTCGCCGGTGCGTTGTCCCCCCCTTTATCCCCTCCATCCCGGGGTGTGTGTGTGTCCGTCCCCCCCCCCCCCGCCGGGACTGACCCGAAAGACTCTGCGGGCGGCGGCGCGGCGCAGCGCGGTCCAGCCCAGGGCGCAGAGCCCGCAGAGCAGCACCTCTCCCCAGCCCAGGTGAGCGTTTTCGGCCCAGGTTCGCCTCGTCAGCTCCCAGCCGCAGTCCCCGCAGCCCCGCACGGCTTCGGCCAAGCTACCGTAAGCTCGGCGGAGGAGCTGCCCGTAGCCGGGCATGGGCTCGGGAGGCGGCATGGCGCTCCCCGCCGCGCCGCTCACCGCCCGCCCATGGCCCGGCGGCTCCGCGCAGGCTCCGCGCGGGGCGGGCCGGGGCCGCGGCTTCCCCCCTCCCCGCCGTTACCGGCCGCGAAGAGCCGCCCCGCGGAGCTCCCGGGGGCGGAGAAGGGTCTTGCCCCCGCCCGGAGGGGAGTGCAGGCTCAGGAGGTGCTTGTTAATTAATCAGCAGGGAGGGGAGCAAGCGGCTCATTAGATGCCTGTTAATCAGCACGGAGAGTGGCTGAATGAAGTTTGTTACACCACCCCCCCCCCACCCCCAAAAAAAAAAAAAAAAAAAAAAAAAAAAATCAATCAACAATGCGACTGCTCTCTTGGACGATGAGCCTCGACAATGGGCTGGAGTGGCTCCAGCAGCGAGAGCGGGAGGCAAATATTAATATGTCACCATCAGGAGATGACAATTGATGCTAGAACAGTGGAAAACTGCAGTGCCTGCCAAGGTGCTCCCTTTCAGGGGGCCGTGGGGGCTGGAAGTTACCCACAGCACTTCAGAGACATTCTCCAGCACCACAGCTCTCCACCTCCAAAATGCCTGACTAAACATTCACCCTTCAACGTGTTTTGTCGGTTGTTTTTGTTGGTTTTTTTTTTTTTTTTTCTCTTTTTCCACTTGATAAGCAAAGAGAAGCATTTCTCCAGATCTTTTTTTTCCATACCTCTCAGCAGAAGATTCATCCCTTCCTCACGCAGCATTTCAGTGCAAAGCAACCAGGTGTTTCCACCCCATCACCATAGCTGAACGCTGGCACCTGCTGCAGCTCAGGGACGATGAGATGCACCTGGAAAATGCAAACACACCCTCCCAAAAGGTCACCCCTGATGAAGGACTTGACCGAACGCCTCCTCCAGAAGGCAGGCAGCTTGCACTCTAGCTAGCTGCTGATTCACAGAACAGAAATATCATTATGTATATGTTTAAAATTAAAAGTAGTACATCCCAAGTCACATACAGACACTTGGTTTGCTAGGAGAAACATGGCTTTAAGATAAAGATTCTCCTAAAATGTCAACACTTAAAATCACCTCATGGTAAGGCACAACAGGAACCCCAGAGCAAAGGCACTGGAGCAGTGCAGTGGTATTTGGTTTCAGCCATGGAGGAGGAAATGCCGTTCAGTTGTGTCCTAATGTACCAAAACTATTGGCTAAATTGCAGCTGTGGGATCCTTCCTACATGATGATGAAGAACAATCATCATCATCGCAGGCGCTCATGGAACTGGAACTTCAACCAGCTTGATAGGGAAGGAAAAAAAGACAAAATATAGATGAGTTTTATCTCATGTAAAGTCATTCCTCTGGCCACAGCCATTCTGCTTTCAGGTTTTCTGGAACCTCACTGACTGCTCTGGGGGAGCAATGAGAAAACACAACCCCATTCCTCTCCAGGTCTGAACAACATGTTCCCCTATTCTCACAGTGACAGCGCTGGCCCCTGCTACGCCACTTGCTTTTATTGTTTACATTTTTAAGTCAATTTATCATGGCCCATCAAGTGGGTAATGGCTGCCCTGAATACACAAGCCCCTTTCACATCTCCCTCAGACAGCTCCACAAAAGAAACATTCATTCAAGACCGGACCATGAATAACCCCTCACTGAAAAGAGTCCCTCGCTAAACAAGCCAAGGAAAGAGACAATGAGCCCTTTCAGAGCGAGGTGGGCACAAAGGAAACGCCAGTTAGACACATTTACAGTGTAGTATAAACCCCTCTTCTCCCCCTCCCCAAACGCAACCCAAAAAATGATTCAAAAGATAATTCCAGTATTAGAGTGCAGGAGGTCCCAGCTGAGGGTTCCCCATGGACATCTGCTCTTGGCAGCGCTGCTGTAAGAGTCGCTCGACATGGGGTAGGCTGAAACGCCAGAGCGGGGTGCGAGGCCACAGAGAAGCGTGGTCATGTAGTGCTGGACCACGTCACGTCCCACATCACGTCCCACGAGGTGACAGGTTCAATCACCACCACATTTCAGAACCGACGTGACGAGCACACTTCCACACGTGCTGCAGGATGTACTTTCCTGGCTCCAGGAGACGAGATACTGCATTTTACCAATTTAATATCAAGGCTGAGCCTATTACAATCGGATTATTTTTATTTTGGGGAAGCTTTTCCTCCCACCAGCAGTAACCCCTACAGCTGCCTATGCTTCTTCTAGAGGATGCTGAAGTTAATGGAGGAGTCATCAGTCAGACAAAGAAGATCCGTAACTCAGGCCTCATCCACATACTGAATGCAGGTGCTCAGAATTAACCTTTGTGCTCTTCCCCCAAGTACAGCCTCGGTACAGATGACAGGGCTCAGTCCCAGAGTGGAATTACTTGAATTCCAGAAATTAAGGGGCACACAGATCCAGAAAAGGCTTTATTAGGAATGTTTAAGGTACAGTGTCGCTTACTCTTGATTCGCACTGTATTTTAAACAGAGTTCAGGACCCAGGTAAGCCAGAACACAGGCTTTGCAGCTACCAAATTCCAGTAGCTACATTTTATGTACAGGTTTAGCACTGGCGGCTTGCTGGATTGCAAGACCCTACCAGTGAGTTAAGGCAGACCGACTTGCAGAGGGTGTTTTTTTCCCCCCGTTACCAGAGAGGCTTTGCACATCTACCCCAGTTCCCAAGGTACCACAGAGCCGGTCCGCAGCCTCCTTCCCCTCTCCTCACGCGCTGGGGGCATACTGCATGGCTAGCCGGTCAAAGTCATTCTCCTTCAAATCAGAAACAAAAATAAAACAAACAAATCTTGAACTTTATTGAAAATATAATAAAACCTGCATTAGCTGAAGAGAACACCACTATCACAGCTCACTGAGGCAAAGGAATTCTAACAAGCAGGATGACCTGTGTAAGTTCTCAATTTTTTTTTATTTGTTCCATTTTCCCTTCACTATTGCCTTTATCCTTCTTTCTCCCTCCCCAATTTCTCTCTTCCAGAAGGATTTTTCCTGTATTTAAGCACAATGTCTGACAGTAACAAACTTCCAACTCGGATTAAGAGCCATATCTCAGAGCCATTCTTTCAAGATGTTACCAGGCTGGGGTACATCACTCCTTTGTTAAGCACCTGGCTTGGGCTTCCCAACATCTCTCACAAAGGCTAGAAAATTTGCTGGTGATGTGACAGAGAAAAGACATGGACCTGCCCCTCAGGACTGCACTCATGTTTGCTGGTAAAGAATCCACTCGCCCCATCAGACACTGGTATGAGGCACAATTAATTACATTTTGTATTAGAAAGTAATTGGTACCTTGGCCTGATACTCCTTTATGAACGGGTGATTTTTATGCGCATCTTTCAACTGTGACAAATAGCGATTCGTAACCTGATGGGATAAGATAGATAAATTTAAATTTTGAGGTAACATGAGGAGAAGCCACGAGTTTAAAACATCACACTTCAATCTACTTGTTTACAGTGAGTAAAAACATGATTTTCTCAGTGTCCTGAATGTTAGCAGCCCCAGTTAAAACCAGTAAGATCTGTGCATACTCTGAACAGAAAAATTAAACCTTAAATAGCGGGTTCAAGAAAACAATCAGTGAGAAATGAAATCAGAACTCAAGAGACTTCTTTTTCCACCCAGGCCTTCCTCTCAAGTATATACCACTGTCTACAACATCTGCATTTTCACAACCAGTTTAATGAGTACTGGAGATGCAAGCTCCCTGCACCCCAGAACTACTCTATTTTGTGAATGCCAATCCTGATGAGAACATACAAAATTCCAGAACCCACACAAAGTTACGACTAGGAACAGACAACCTGTCCTCAGCAGCAGGAAGAGGCTGATCGTATCTGCTTGCCGAGTACAATAAAATAAACCTCACCTCTGGTGGTTTGCCCAAGTGCTGCGACAGGACAACAAAGTTGATCAGGGTCTCAGGATGGCCACTGTCCTGAAAACAAGAACAATCACCCGATCTATCTGACTTATATCCACCATGACTCAGTGTAACAACCAGCATAGTTCTGCAAGAACAAGTTCTGCCAAACCTACAGCTCACTTTACTGGAAAAGGCAAAGCAGAAGAAAAGGTAGATATTAACAGTGACCACCCTTAGCGATATATATCAATATATTGGTATTTTCATGAAGTGTAACAATGAAAGTCCTTGCTGTTTTACTCTATATCCCCCCAAGAGTAAATCTACCTGGCAAAACCAGAAAGTACCTTGTCCAATGCTTCTTGAAGTACTCCCTCCGCATCGTCCCACTTGCCCTGAGCCATATAGCAAGCTGCTTGTCCGTTAAGTAGGAGGAGGGTGGAAGAACATTTGTCTGCCATCTCTTGGAAGATGTAATAGGCATCTTGTAACTTCTCACCACCCTGCAGAGGGAAGAGACAAACACCCACAGTTTCATCACACCTCGTGAAGAAGCCTGGACGTTCTTGCCATGGCTGAAGGACTAGGCACAAAGTTCATTTCTAGGGTTATAAAGCACAAGTGTGAAATGTGTAAGAACCAACGCTAACAGCTGTTGGCATTCATGTGATCTCCTGCACCACAACAGATCACTGTCAGACCACAGGTGAAAGAAATGCAAAAATATTAAATATTAGGAACCACTTGCACCACAACAGATCACTGTCAGACCACAGATGAAAGAAATGCAAAAATATTAAATATTAGTAACCACTTAAATGATCAAAAGATCCAGGCTTCCATTCAAATAGAGAAAAAACACTTCAAAAGAATCACTTCAGATGTTTGACATAATAAAGGATTATGAGATGAGATTTTTATAATTAAGCACAGGTGTGGACACCTGGCTTTTCAAAAGCTCCAGCTTCAGAAAGGTTCCACATGCAGTGGCTTCCACCAATTAGAGGTGAGATCCCTTGTGGAAACTAAGATCTTACAGAAAATGCAGCTGCACGATATTGTAAGGCAAGGGCTATGTACGAGAGATTTCATAACAAAACCAAGTGAATACTAGAAAGGGGAGTCTTAATAACAAGCTACTGCATGCATAACCTTGGACTTCATTGAACTTTAGGAGACTACTTATTTTCAATAACCTGATGATCTGGACTGCCAAAAAGTGTATGTTTTTCTCTGATTCACAAATATGTTCAAAGACACTCTGCTCTAAGCAGAGAATTACATTTTTTTCTTGGAGTTTAACTGCAAGTTCTGGATGCTAGTCACACTGCAGCTTTCCATTTTATATTATAATGTTTTGTGAATTATTTAAGCATGGTTTAGCTCTTCCCTGTGTGAGCTGAAGGCTAAGAAGCACAGATGAAAGACTTTCAATCAAAACAGCCAGTTAGTTTGTGAAACCAGCTATCAATATTTTCTGTGTACTTGAAGGAAGGGGAAAAAAAAAAAAAAATAAAATAAAAACCAAACCAAACAAACCACAACAAAATCCCTGAAAATGATTTTCTGAAATCATAATGTGAAAAGACCAGTCAGGAACAGCAGTTCCTCAGCTGTTGCAGGCTAGGGATCCCCATTTAAGATACTCACTATGGCCAGGTTTACCCAGGCAGTTGCCAACTGTGTAAGAGTCGCATCCTCATCTTGCTCCTGCATCTTCTTAAGCTCCTTGCTGCAGAAGCAAAAGTGGGAGTCACACAACAGAAAGACAAGGCAACTTCTTTAAGACAGAAACAGAAAGTTGTAGTTTCTTCTCTTGACTTTTCCATCGCTGCAGCCCAACAGCCACAGCGAGCTGGTAACGCGGCACGAACACCTCTTAATACTTTACTGAAACAATCTCTGAAATACCTCTTGGTTTTACTTCCCCATGGGAAGCTAGAAACCCAGGACTAGAGATTCAAACCGCACCCTGCTGAAGGTACGATTAAACCTTGAGGTCCACCTCTTCCTTTAGCTGCATCCAGCTCTGCCATCTCCACAGCTTTTGCAACTCAAAGAACAGAAACATTTTGCAGCGCACCCACACATACACACAAGTTGTTCTGTCCACTGCAGGTGTTAAAATGCTGCACCCTGGGGGAGGCTGGGCAATGTAAATTCTCTTATCAAGGCCCACCCCTCCAGAGCGCCCTTAAGAAGCAAAGGGACACAAACCTACCGAGCCAGATCGAGCCTGTCAAGCTTCAGAAGAATCTGTATCATCATGGCCATGCTGTAACAAACAAGAGCAAAGTGATTTTCACCACTGCAGGCTTTACTGCTCCCTACGCTTTGCCTGGCAGCCTGCTGCCTAGCAGGGAGAGGTACTGCCAGCGCCTAGGGACAGGCCTCCCCACCGCGGGGAATCTCTCAGAGCAGGACCCAGAACAGGGAAGCTTGCTCCAAACTCCCAAGTGCTTCCTTGCTGTATTGCCAAAATGCTCATCTCAGCAATTCTGAACATGCACGAATCAATAAAGCCAGTTCTTAAGTTTCACAAGGGAGCAATAGACTTGATAGTGTAGGATGAGCACCAAATCACATACTACTTTGAAGGCAAACCTCAAAGCAGTTTCTCAATGGTTTCAAGGCTTTTTAGGGATAAGCCAGACCTCGGTCATTTCTACAGCACCTCGCCCTAGACAAGAGAGAGGCTTTGCTAGCACACACCTCCGCGATGCCAGGTGAGTTGCACTTACCACTCCAAGCTCTCCCCCTGATGTAGAGTACGCAGAGCCGCGTCAGGATTTTTGTCGTGGAAATAGATGGAAGCAGCCATCAGCAAGAAAGTAGTATTGGCTATATCAACACTTTTTGCCATTTTCTTGTCCAAATCAGCAACAATTGCATCCCTGTGGAGAGCAAGGGTGAGAATTTGGGATTGTTTCATTCCTGAGCGAGACAAAAAGATCCTGCCCTCACACAATTCTGCCTTTTTGAGATTCGCTGCAAAACCACAGAGAATCACGATAAAGGCCACACTTCTACATGAAACTTTCTACACAGAAACATATTCCCAGTTAGACAGGGCTTGAGTTCCACCTTATCATCAGACTCACCTTTGACTCTCATTTGCAAGATATTCTGCAAACATCCTCACTGCCTGGAGCTCAGGACTAGCACTGGCTTTGATTTCATCTAGGACAACACCATATTTTCTCTATTGAAGACAACGAAGAAAAATCTGTGACTTATTTTTCAAGAACACATGAAATAACTGCTTGCTTTCTCAGTTAGAACAACAGAAAACAGGAACAGCAAATTTCTGTGTTATGTCTCCCACCATAGTCTACAAACACGGCCAAATTTCATAACCCCAAAGAGGACTATTTGCCCATAAGCTGTTTTAAAGATTACAAAGTGCCTCTCAGAGGCCTCATCAGGCCATCCTGACACTCATACAACACGTTGTATTCACAACTGTGTTACTGCCAGGGAATGCATTATGTTCCAGTGCAGATGGGGGATTTATTACCAAAGCCTATAACGCTGTATTCACAGGATTCAGATCCGCAAGCTCCTCGGCTCCAGCCCCACAGTCAGATTATGCTCCTGCAAATGCAACCTCACCTGGGCGATGTAGGCTCGGAATAAGAAAACATCCCTCTCCACTTCCTTCTCCGGATTAGACGGCTGAGGGGATGACAGGAAACAAGAACCTCTCTCAGGGACTTGTACAGCAACAGCACAACCTCGCAACACAACTCCGCATACGAGATTCTCCCCACACACATTCTCAGGGTCCGCGCGAGCCCTCCTTCACCCCAGCGTCCCCCTGCAAGAAGGTGGGGAGCACCCGAAACAGCCTGGGACGAGGCGGAATGTGGCGCCTTTAGAGCAGGTCCCAGCGAGAGGCGGCGACCCGCGGGCCCCCAGGCAGCCCGTCCGTCCCTCCCCTCCCGCCGTACCTTGACCCGCTGCGCCTCGTTTATGGCGGCCTGGTAGGCGCCGATGTAGAAGCTGTTCTTCACGTCGAAAAGCTCGTCGGCGTCGCCGCCCTGAGCGGCAGAGCCCGCGCCCGCCCCGGCCGCCATTTTCCGCCCCCCTCAGACACGTCTCCGGAAGCAGCCGGGAGCCGCAGTCTCCATGGCAACCTCCGGCGCCAGCCAATCGGCGCGGCAAGGCGGCGCGAACGTCACCACAGCGCCCAGCAAAGCAAGCCGGGGCGAGGAGGCGGGCCCACAGGGAAGGCAGCCAATGAGCGGCGCCGGGCGCGTCCCGTGACGCGCTGCCCGATGACGGCGATGCCGCGGTGATGGCGGCGTTCCGGGCGCTGGGGCTGGCGCCGTGGCTGGCGGAACAGGCGCGGCAGGTCGGGCTGAGCCGCCCCACGCCGGTCCAGGCCGCCTGCATCCCCCCCGTGCTGCAAGGTGAGAGCAGCCACGCCGGTCCCCTCCCGTCCCTCCCACTCACGTGGCCGTGGCCGTGGCCGTGGCCGTGGCCGAACGGTCACCGACCTCCCGCCTCCCGCGCAGGTCGCGACTGCCTGGGCTGCGCCAAGACGGGCAGCGGGAAAACGGCGGCCTTCGTGCTGCCCGTGCTGCAGCTGCTCGCCGAGGACCCCTACGGCATCTTCTGCCTGGTGCTGACCCCCACCAGGTACGGAGCGGCCCTGCACCGGGCCAGCCGGTCCCGCAAGGCCCCGCCGCGGCGACCGGCCCCGCTTCACCTCTCTCCCTTCCTCCCCCGGCAGGGAGCTGGCGTACCAGATCGCCGAGCAGTTCCGTGTCCTGGGGAAGCCCCTCGGCCTGAAGGACTGCGTGGTGGTGGGCGGCCTGGGTGAGTCGGAGCCGCTGGCCTTCCGGGAAAGAACCGAGCGCCGGGGGAGCTTCTCTTTCCGCAGGGTTTCCTCACTGAGGAGCTGTTACCCAGTGCCCGCGGCAGCCAAGGCTGGGGGGAATAAGGAGAGAGGCGTTTTCCAGCTTTGCGGACTAAATGATTTCGGGTTCGCCTTCGGTTGCCCATCACCAGGCTCTGGTTCTTGTTGCAGACATGGTGGCACAGGCGCTGGAGCTCTCCCGTAAACCCCACGTGGTCATCGCAACGCCCGGCAGGCTGGCAGATCACCTCCGCAGTTCCAACACTTTCAGCCTTAAAAAGCTAAAGGTCTTGGTAAGGGAGTTTCCCAAGTTTGGGTTGTCTTTTTTTTTTTTTTTTTTTTTTTAAATGCTTTTTTTTCTTTTGCAGGTATGCGTGCAAATGATCTTGTTTATTTTCGGCTGAGCCTAGGTTCTGGATGAAGCTGACCGGTTGCTGGAGCAGGGCTGTGCTGACTTCACCACAGACCTGGAGGTGATTCTGGATGCTGTTCCGGCACGCAGACAAACGCTGCTGTTCAGCGCCACGCTGACCGATACGCTGACCGAGCTGAAGAGCCTGGCCGCGAACAGACCCTTCTTCTGGGAGGCTGTGTCCGAGTAAGTCTTCATCCACTCCACTGAGCAGGTGAAGATTCCCATTTCCTCTCAGTTCTCTTACCTCCTCATTCTCTTTCACCTCCCTCATGTTCCATCTTCTCTTCCCCCCCCCCCCGGTGCTGCTCGGTGCTTTGCCTTCCCCTCCCAACAGGGTGCGGACGGTGGATGAGCTGGACCAGCGCTACTTGCTTGTACCCGAGGCAGTCAAGGATGCGTACCTTGTCCATTTAATCCAGACCTTCCAGGACGAGCATGAAGACTGGTCTATTATTATCTTTACTAAAACCTGCAAGTGAGTGGCATCGTTCTATGTGATTGTTCTTAATGGAGATGTATCTTTAGGTTTCTAGTCCAGATTCCAAATTCACGCTGTTTGGGGTGTTAGGTTGGGATGATATTCCCTTCTGTAGTCTATTCTGAAGTTTGGTAGAGAAACACCTTTTTCTTTAAGCCATCTGGGGCTGAAGGGCCACCCAGAAATGTAGCATGCAGGAGGTCAAGCTGCTTTACCTCCCTGCATCTTCCTTTCTTCCTGCTGGTGGATACTGGAAAAGGGATGGGGAAAGCAGCACTGTGTGCTCCCCTGTGCTGCTCCTTTCTGTTGGGTGGTTCAGGTGAGCAGGGCCCAGCTCTGTCCTCGTCCATCAGCTTTGTTTCCCTGTTTATTCTGAATTTATTTTTTATTTTTTCCCCCTTCAAGGGACTGCCAGGTCTTGAACATGATGCTTAGGAAATACAACTTTCCTTCTGTAGCTCTGCATTCCATGATGAAACAGGTGAGTGATGGAGAGATGTGGGAGGTGGATGCTTCCAGCTGCATCCCTGAGCCAGACATCTGTCCGAGCCCTACAGCTCCTGTGGATCACAATGTCACTCACACAGACTTTTCTCTTTACAGCGGCAACGATTTGCAGCTTTAGCAAAGTTCAAGTCCAGCATCTTTAAGATTCTTATTGCCACTGATGTTGCTGCCAGGTAAAGGAAAAACGCAGTCACTGTTGCCAGAGGTCTTAAACCTGCTTTTTAAGCACCAGAACCACTGCGGAGATTAGGCTGGGTTTAGCAAGAGGAGAGCTTTAAATTCCTCCTACTTGGGTAGGACAGGGTCGTTCACTTCCACTGTAGAACATCTCTGAGGTGTGTTTCAGAGCCCAGCTGTGTATGCTGTAGCTCTGATCCTGCCTTGTTTTGCTGCAGCAGGGCATGTGTGTGTGCTAGCAGGAGAATGATTTCTGTGAGGCTTAAGTGTGTTCTCTGGGTTTAGGAGGCAGTGGGAGGCTCAAAGGCGACGCTGCATTTCGTGACTTGGAGACTTGCGTGAGGAGAGAGTTTGTCCTAGAATCAGCCTGAGCCAATAAAGACTATATTCATGAGACAGTGGGGCTCTTGGAGAAAGCAGAGGGCAAGAACTTAACCTGCATATTTAAAACAGTGTTTCTCAACTTCTGTTCTCTTTCCCTGCATCCCAGAGGTTTGGACATTCCTACAGTACAAGTTGTCATCAATCACAACACTCCCGGCCTGCCGAAAATCTACATTCACCGCGTTGGACGGACAGCCCGTGCGGGTGAGCAGGGAAAACCGCCTGCTGTTTGCTGGCTAAAAGTGGGATCCCAGTGCTGGGGCTGAGCCCTGGCTGGGTGGAGGAGGCTTTGCAGCAGCTGCAGTGCAGTCTTTGCAGTCAGCGCCAGATCTACTCGGATCACTGGCTCGGCATCCTGCCTTAAGATTGCAGTGGTGGCTCACCCGGCTTTGTGCCTGATCTGTACCAGTAGTTAATTGAATTTTCAGAGTAAATAAAGACCCCTCTGAGCACCCTGGCACCATAATGTTCTGGGATGGATGGCATTTGGCACAGGCTAGGCTTCATCTCCCCCTGCTTGTCAAGATTCATGTATCACTGTTTTCATCATCCAGGTCGGAAAGGAATAGCTATTACACTGGTGACGCAGTATGACATCCATCTTGTACATGCTATTGAGGAGGAAATCAGTAAGTGGAGCACCATTAATACTGCTAAAATGTGGGATCGTATATATTCCTTTGTGTTTCTGGTACTTGCAGCCCTGATTTCATCAGTGCAGGATGTATGATAGAGCATAAAAGTGGTTTCTCTTCCCTGTGTGGCTAAGGCTTGGAAAAGAGCAGGAGCAGTCTGTCAGCTTTGATTCTGCTCTTGAGTGTGCCAGGCATGAACGTGTTTGTCTTTCTGCTGTTTGTAGTGGAGGAGAAAGTGTGTTGAACTTTGTAACCTTTTTATTAAAGCAGCCAGCTTCTTCCTGGCTACTGTGTGTGCTGATGCAGACAAAAAGAGCAGGCTACTTTGCGTAGGTTCAGACTTTGTATTTTTTTAGGAAATAGACCTAATAAATGCACTATCTTGTGCTATGTGTCTATAATTCCCATTGTGGGCAAAGGGGAGGATTTAATCCTTTGTTGGAGGCTGAAGAAGTCAGAGTGATCATAGCATATGACACTTCCACTGATTATCAGTGGAATGGTATTGGGTGTTTTACTAATTAAGAATCTGCCCCTGGATTTTGTAACCAACCGTGGTCTGTAAATGTCTCGCCCTGATTTAGAACTGAAGCTGCAGGAGTTCTCTGTGGAGGAGCAGTGTGTGCTTGACATCCTCACCCAAGTGAACGTCACCAGGAGGGAATGTGAAATCGTAAGTGTGCAAACATGAAGCCCCTTTGCTCAGAGGGGACCTTGGGCAGATGGGTGTGACCAGGAGATACTCTGCAGTCTAACGTGCAGCTCTGGATATGCAGCCTTGCTCTTAAGCACATAAATGAGAATTTTTGTTCCTTTTTCTAGTGGAAGCCCTTGGATATGTATATGTGTAAGGTCGTTTTAGTTATCTTATCTAGGTTTGCTCTAGTATTGCATGTTTTTGCAGTATTTTTATGCTGCTGAGTGTTGAGGCTGGTACTCGGGGGAAGGGTCTGCAGGCTGAGTGTGTGCACACTGGTTCAGCTGACGCTTTAGAGCTCTACTGCTTTTCTCTGTCAGACTAGATGCTCAGTTACTGATTGCCCTGCTGTATTTCTGCTTTGACAGGCACTGGAGGGAATGGATTTTGATGAGAAGAAAGAAATAAATAAGCGGAAACAAATGATCCTTGAAGGAAAGGTGAGAGTTGCTGCTGTATAAACCACTTTGTTCAGTAGCTGGTGTAATGCCACCAATGTGAAAAGGAATGACAGTTCCTCCCTCACTGCTGGGGTGTGTCTGCCTCACTCCCCTTCAGGGTGGTGAAGATTTAGTTTAAAGGGTGACTGATATTAAAAAGTGCATTGGAGTAGTGTCTGACTTTTGCAGCCTGCTCAGTCGTGGGCTAGAAAGCAGCGTGGGTGCCTAGGAAAGGCAAAGGGGGTTGGCACTGTCCCTCAGCATGTCACTGGTAGACTGGCATTTGCCATTGCAGGATCCAGATCTGGAGGCAAAAAGGAAGGCAGAGCTGGCCAAGATCAAGAAAAAAAACAAGCAATGCCGCGAGAAGGTCCAGCAGGCACTGCAGAAGAAAAAGCAACTGCAGCTGAAGAGGAAAATGCAGAAGAAGATGGAGCGGCGGAACAAACTGCATGCTAAGGAAGAGAGAGAACAACCTTTGTCCTGACTTGCTTGGCTTGGGCTGCCCTGACGTTGCTGCTGCTTT